ATAGACGAGCCACATTCCAGATCAGCATCCAGTGAGGGGAGCAGCGTTGTTGCACCCCCTATTAAGCACTTGTCCAGGGCTGAGATGGCGGAACGCAGGGAGAGGGGACAGTGTTTTAATTGTGATGAACTCTACTCAGCAGGGCACAAGTGCAAGAGACTTTTCTACCTCCTGGTGGAACAAGAGGACGATGAGGATGAACCCCCTTCATTGGAACTCGATCCAGGAGGGCTAAATCATTCCACCTATCCTGGATTCCCTCCAAGACATATCCAAATTTCGAGCTTGAGGACAAGCTCGTAGTCCAGGAGGGGAGTAATGTTATGGACACATTCGTGGGACCCTCAGCAGATTATCTAGCTAGCCACAGTTCATCTTACCTTATCCTTATCTTATCTGTTTTCTTACTCTTATTTTATCTGTAAGCAGTTTAGTTAGTCTTATCTAGGAGTCTTATCTATCTTATCTGTAAGTAGTTTAGTTAGTCTTATCTAGGAGTCTTATCTATCTTATCTGTAAGCAGTTTAGTTAGTCTTATCTAGGAGTCTTATCTATCTTATCTGTAAGCAGTTTAGTTATCAAGGAGTCTTCCTACAAGGAGGACTCTTACCTCTTGTAATCTCCTATTTAAGGAGCTGAAATTATTGAATAAAGATATCAAATTTCCAGTCAAGAAAGAGAGTAAAAGGAGAGTTTGGTGATCTCTTGGACAAATCACCCTCTAGGACGCCAAGATAGGTTCAGCTGGGAAGGGGAGGAACAAGGGAAAGCAGGAGCTTTTCCCTGTGGACCGACCAGTGACGAGATCCTATTCCCGAGCCCATAACAAATAACCTGAGAGAGGGGGAGAAGCTCTTAGCCATCTACTTCTCCATGCTGAAATCTCTTTGGCAGGAGATTGAATTGATGGAAACTGTTGTTTGGGGATGTTCAAAGGATGCTGAAACACATAGGAAGTTGGTGGAGAGAAATCAAATCTTTTGAGTTCCTCACCGGACTCAACCCGGAATGATATTGTGAGGCAAAATGTTTTAGCTAAGGATGACGTGACTTTGTTTCAGGCATATGCTATGGTGAGTATGAGGAGAGCAGAAGACAGGTTTAGTCTGTAGACCCACAAGTTGATCACCATGCTAATGCCAGGATGAAGTCAAAGGTCAACACTAAGAAGAAAGATGTTGTTTGTGAGTACTACAAGACTAAACATACTAAAGACACCTATTGGAAGCTACATCTAGAGCTCATGCCTACCAGGTTCAAGAATGGAAATAGTGGAAAAAGGATTTTGTTAGGTGCTGCCTAACTCAGTGTTCGTAGAGTGAACCAAGCTCCCAAGGAGAGAGGAAAAACTGAAGGGGAACAGAGGGGGAAAGAAAGGGATGTTCGAAAGGAATTCCTCCTTTCATCCTTTCTTCCCCTGGTCTTTATAGCCCAGGTAAGTTGTTTACAGTATACAGTTTGTTACAAAACTGTTACAGTTTGTTGTAGGACTGTTACTTTGTTCTAGCAATCTGCAACTTGGATTAACCTCTTGCTGACGTGGCTTCTCCCTTTTCTTGTAAACTTGATATGTAGGCCAGCTGTTCCCGTGCATGGATCTTGGTTTGACGCAGCTCTTGGTCTCAAAAACCCCCCCTGGATAAGTTGGACCTTGCCCTTAAGGTCAATATGGGGAAACTGGTGTTGTAGTTATAGATAGGGTTCCCACGTTGCATCCTCTTCTGGCAGCTGTGACCAGACGGCTAAAGCTTCTGGAACAATGTGGGAGCCTTTCTTGGCCCATCTGAACTTAGTGATACGCACCGGCTCTGTTTCTAGGTCCATATCACTTAGAATTTGGGAAGATATGGTTGAGTTATAGCATCTGGTTTCAAGCATTTTTTGAGAACCAAGACATGGAAAACTGGGTGCACTCTTGAATCTGGTGGGAGATCCAATCTGTATGAAAGAGGTCCAATTTTCTCCATGATCTTGAAAGGTCCAAAGTAGCGAGGTGCCAGCTTGTTCCATCATTTTTTTTGTACTGAAAGCAACTTGTAGGGGAGCAATTTCAAGTAAACCATGTCACCGACCTGATAGTGTACTTCTCTATGATGTTTATCATATGATTGTTTCATCCATTGTTGGGCCCGGGACAGGTTCTGTTTAAGTTCCTGTAGAATGATGTCTCAATTCAGCAGGTGTTCTTCAAGTGAAACTACTACTATAGAACCCTTCTCATTGGAAATTCAGTGTAGGTGGGTCATGACCATATAATGCCCTAAAAGGGGTCATTCCCCCTAATTTCTGATAGGTAGTGTTGTACCACCATTCAGCCCAATGCAACCAGTTGAACCATTGTCTAGGCTTGGTTCCGGTGAAGCCTCATAAATATGTTTCTAAGCAACAATTGACCACCTCTGTTTTCCCATCTGACTATGGATGGTAGCTTGTGGATTTGCTTAGCTGTACGCCTTGGAGGCAAAAAAGTTCTTTCCAAAAGAGGTTGATGAAGATTGGATCTCTGTCAGAAACAATAGACTTTGGGAAACCGTGAAGACAAGCTATTTCCCAAACAAAAGTGTCAGCTACTGTAATTGCAGTAATTGGATGCGACAGTGCTAAGAAATGGTTGTATTTTGTAAGGCGATCAACCACCACTAATATTACTGATTTACCGGGAGAGGTTGGTACGCCCGTTATAAAATCCATAGAAACATCATCCCAAACTTGGCTAGGTATGGGTAATGGTTTTAGCAAGCCAGCTGGGGATTGGGCCTCATATTTGCATTGTTGACATACCTGGCATGTAGATATGTATTTCCTTATGGAATTTAGCATACCCTTCCAATAAAATTGGGATGACACTCTCTTATATGTGCATAGGACTCCTGAGTGTCCACCCATCGGTGTCGCATGGAAGTAATTCATTAGCTGGTCCAAAAGGGCTGAGTCCACTGGCAACACCATTCTACCTTTATAGAACAGCACTGACCCTTGGATAGAATACCCAGGTTTGATACCTGGTTGTTGCAACAACTGCGCTTTTATTGCTTGGAGTTCCTTATTATTGTCTGCTTCCTCCCATAATTGGTCCAATAGTGCTGTAGTGGGTTGTTGGAACACATGCAATTGGAGTATTCTCTCCAATGATTGTTTGGGTTAGAAAGCAGAAACCGCAGCCTACCACCATGGAAGAGAAAGAGAAGAAGAAACAGATTGGCACCCCCTAACACCCACCACTACCAAGCCGAGCTCTGCACGGGATTTCATCCCCAGAGATCAACCTACGCCCACCGTAGAGTTCTCGGAATAAATCCTCGTCAGATCCTACTTTCAAGCCGAGCTCCAACGTCAAAGGACTCCATTTTGGCGGCCAGTTCATCGTAACACCCACCTCTGGAGTTCCTACGCCTCCTTGCTCTGCCACCCACTAACGCTCACCATAACTCTTAACTTTCAAGATTGTTACGGATATTCCTGGCACAACCGATTCATCCTTTGGTGAGCGGGTCTCTCTCCCTGAAAAGTCTTCTTTATTGATTTATTTCTTCATATATATATGGAATCCATCTTGATCACAGGCAGAGAAATCGTGGGGTGTGAGACCCCGAAGCCAGTTATCGGCATCCACAGGTTTGTCTTCATTCTGTTCAAGCAGAGGGGGAGGCAAATAGTGAAGCCTCCAGCTTAACACAAGGAAGTTCTCGGAACAGAAAGAACGGCCTGGGGCTCCCAATAGCTGCAATTTACTTCAACACACAGAGAGAAACTGCAGCTAGACGACGATGAAGAAGAAGAAGAAGAAGAGATGCCTAAGCATAAAGAGAGTAGAGTTGGGGTACGGGAGAGTTTATTAGGACAAAGTGGTTCTGCTTCACGAGGAGTGTTAGCACTACTACTGCTTCACGAGGAGTGTCAGCACTCGGAGGTTCGTCATCAACGATGTTTCTCATCGCCGGTGAATGCCTTGGTGAAGAAGAACCCCATCCTTCTTCAAGTGAATGAAGCAAGTTTTCTCGAGTTTTTCCACCAAGGTTGCACTGTTTTGGTGCAACCCCGATTACACAATTTTGGGATCTCACATCCCACGTTGTTCTCATCCCATCCCCATATTTCCCTCAAAACAAATATGGTAAAATCAAATCCATCAAATCAAGATACTGTGTTTGCAAAAAGCAATAGTTGATGGGAATAGACCGGAGAAAAATTGAGCAAATCCATGTTTTTTAGGAATTCATAATAATCTAATCTATGAGAATCATCTGCAACCTATCAAAGTTCTTAGCCAAGATTTGGGCATTTTGGATTTATGAATTATGACTACATAGATGATTGAACAAAACATCTTATTAAATAGACAATGGAAATCCTCAATCAACAGCCCAATTTAGCACTCTAAATAACATAGTAAAAACCTTCCAGATGGATGACCAAAGGCCATATTTACCAGAAGACTCAAACCTAAACTTCTTTATTACATAAATTTAAGAAAAAGGGTTACCCAATGTTGGTCCTCTTTATCCCAGGTTTTGGGAGAGATGGACTGGATAGAAGCCTAAACTTGGCCTTTTTTTTTTTTTCTTCTGTAAAAAGAGTATGCTGCCAGACTTGAATGCAAGTTCTCACACTTGTCGGCTGACTCAGCCCAAAAAGTTACCTTGCAATAGGCAAATACATCAATATATCCCCATTAATGCAACTAATGGGGAGGGTTGGACTGGATAGAAGCCTAAACTTGGCATTTTTTTTTTCTTTTGTAAAAAGAGTATGCTGTCAGACTTGAATGCAAGTTCTCACACTTGTCGGCTGACTCAGCCCAAAAAGTTACCTTGCAATAGGCAAATACATCAATATATCCCCATTAATGCAACTAATACCCCAATAAATAATTTTTGTAGTGCTCCACAAGTGGGATTCTAAGTCCAAACTCCAAAGCAAAGGATGCCTTTGTGAAATATTTTAAGCTTAAGTTCTAACTTGATGTATTTTTAGAAAATGAAAGTGGTTTAGAACATTACCAGGTGTTCCAACCCCAATTGTATCACCAAGGGAGATTTCAAAGCAACCCATATCATAAAGCTCCTTCGCTACATATGCTACTTTTGAAGGTAGAACCGGTCCTTCCACTGGGCACCCCACAACACATGATACATACCTACCATTATTACACAAACAATTATTTCAATTATTTTCGTAACAATGATAAGAACACACAAAACATTGTATTGTTTTTTCTTCTATGACAGACTTTATGATGATAATGATAAAAGAGAAATGATACATAAAAATTAACCATAGTGTATAACATAGAGCAAAGATCAGACTTTATGATAATGAGTACAAACTGAATTTAACTTAAGCAAGCCTTATTCCAACTATTTGAGTTCAGCCGCATAATGAAATTTGTGTGCTATGTTCATTGCATGAAATGTTAGACAGTGTATGCCCTTAGCTCTAATCAGATTGATGTACATAAACATTTATCAATAAATGAATAAAGTACATTATTGTTTTATGTTTAAATTGGTGTCTATTAATTACTCTTTAGACTAGACAGTTATGAGACTCGTATTAGTTTAGAATGTTCTCAACCATTGGATAAACTTGGGGAGTTTATCCCGACAACGCTGACATTAGTGTGCTACTGAATTGGTAGAGCAACCTATCTCAGTTTCAAGGGTTGGACCCCAAGCACCGCTAGTGGGTGTTTGGAAGAAATACTGGATCTGGACTAATTTCGAGTTATGCCTTGGACCATGGAGATAGATGGGAAAAACTGGAAAGCACTAGGTTTTTGGACTGAACTATCTTTAATATGCTAACTAGTGAGATCCATCAAGGTTCAAATATCAGGGTATGTTGGGGCAGCTTGGGAAATTACTCGAGTGGATGATCATAGTGATAGAATCAAGTTCTCAAGTACTAATATGTCAAATAATTAACAAACCTATTAATATGTCAATAACAACAAAAATCTAAAATAATCAAGTTCTCAAGTACTCATCAATCAACATTAAGTTCAAGATTTCAAGTAAGCTGCAAGCCATTAATGCAATACAATGAACAATCACATAGAGTCAGAGTCATGTCATAGGCAATTTTCTTTCAAAAAAAGAGAGAGACAATTTTCTTTCAAAAAAAACATATAGACTATAAACATAGTCATAGACAATTTTCTTACAAAAAAGAGGAGTCATAGACAGTTTTCTATCCAAAAAATGAGTCATAGACAATTTTCTACAAAAGAAAAGAGTCTAATGTTTCAGCCATTCTTCAAGACTCAATCAGCATCCTCTTCATCTTCATTGTCATCTGACTTGCAGTCATCAAAATTCTCTTTCATTTCTTCTTCAACTTTAACTTCAACATCAACTTCTTCTTCATCTTCCAATTGAAGTTGTCTTGGTCTTTTTCCACTAGCTTTTGTTGCTTTTGCTTGTGAAGTTGAAGCTCTAGACCTTGTATACCTTAGTGGCTCTTCAACTCCAGAAGCACGAGCAATATCTCCCCATGTTATTGTACCATCATCAAATACCAAATCAGCTTCTGCACCATCCTCATCATGTCCTACCTCCCCCATTAACCATTAATTACTCTCATCTATATCTTTTAGTGAAATGGGGTCATTGGTGCTACGTGAGTCAAAACTTTCTTTAAGCATATGTTGAACTTAACAAATACCAAGTCATTCAATCGCTTTTGATCCAACCAATTTCTTTTCTTAGTATGAATTTGTTAATTCAAAAAATTAAAAGTGTAAATTTAAAATAATTTATCCAAAAAAATAAAAGTATTCTAGTGTAGTAGTTTGGCATACATCCCGATGCACTACATGTCAAACTTAGGACTTCCACTGCAATCTTTTGTAGATTTGGGATAGAAGCACCAAATATGGTCCACTGAATTAGTGATTAGACTAACTAAAAATATTAGGAGTGTAAAATATTAATATTAAATCAATGTTATTATTTAGCTGGTGCTTTAATCTTCCTTTGGGAAATATCCATATCAAAACCAAAACTGCCTTCTGCAGGGTAAGCTGAATGCAAAAAAAGGTGGAAATGGAGTGAAAAAAGTAGGGAAATGATGAGGTTGGCTTGGGGATTAAATGACGAAGCAGGAAAGGGAGAGGGATCTATAAGAGGGGGAGGGGAGAAGAAAGGTCATTGAAAGGGTGGGGGTTTCTCTAATTTGTTTTATGGATTTAAAAATTCTTTCGTGGAATGTGAGGGGGTTAGGGTCAGGTAAGAGAAGGATGGTGATCTGCGATCTACTTAAAAGATAGAAATCGGATGTGGTGTTCTTCCAAGAAACCAAGTTGGATGCAGTGGAAGCAGAAATAATCAAAAGTGTTTGGAGGGCCAAGTAAGGTGGGTGAGTAAATTGGCGAGAGGAAGTGTGAGGGGTATCCTAACGATATGGGACAGATCAAAATGTAAGCTTGTCTCTTCTCGTGGGGGCTTTTACGGTAACGGTAATCTTGGAGTTTGAGGGAGGCTTTCAAGGGTAATTCACTAATGTTTATATGGGCCCACAGTTAGTGCAGAGAGGGATAGGTTGTGGGAAGACCTAGCTGAAGCAAGAAGGGTGCACTCTATCCCATGGGTAATAGGGGGGGACTTTAATGTGGTTAGATTCTTGGAGGAAAGAAAGGGTGGAAATAGGCAGACAAGGGACATGAGAAGGTTTGCTGACTTTGTGGATGGTTTTGATCTGATTGATCTCCCTTTGTTGAGGGCTCAATATACTTGGACTAATAACCAAGAAACCTTGGCATTGGTCAAGTTAGATAGATTTCTCATATCTCCAGATTAGGAAGATGCATTTAGTCCCATAAAGCAAGTGGCCCTCCCAAGACCTATTTCGGATCATGCTCCTATCCAGTTGGTGTGTGGAATGCAAAATCCGAATAAAACCCCCTTCAAAATGGAAAATATGTGGTTTGAAGAGGAGGGGCTGGTTCCCTTGTTGAGCTCTAAATGGATTGAATTGCAGCTAGAAGGTACGAGTTCATTCAAATTTGCTAAGAAAATCAAAGTAGTCAAGGAAACCCTGAAGTCTTGGAGACGAGAGTACCATGGGACATCAGAATCAAAGAAAAAGAGATGCCTTGAAGTGATTAAGGAGTTGGATACAGCTGAGGAATTCGGTCCTCTAACTGAGGAAGATAGAAAGAGAAGAGTGGAAGCAAAGATGTCCATTGACAGGCTACCTGTTAGAGATGAAATTAAGTGGAGGCAAAGGACCAAGGTCAAATGGCTTAAGGAGGGGGACAGGAACTCCAGGTTTTTTTCATAAAATGGCAAATGCAAGAATTAGATATAAGCAGCTTGTGAGGCTGTTTGAGGAGTTAGTGGGAGAGGATGGGGCTAAAATGAAGTTCATTGCCACCAAGTACTTTGCAGAATTATTCCAGGAAATTTGGACTAAAAGACCTTTTCCTACAAATCTAGAGTTTAGGAAGATTTCTGATTCTCAACAAAGAGAATTGGAAGCCCCCTTTACTGAGGCTGAAATATGGCATGTGATCAAGAATATGGAAGTAGATAAATCTCTAGGGCCGGATGGTCTTACAAGCCTTTTCTATAAGAAGTGTTGGGAGGTGGTGAAAGAGGATTTAATGAAAGCGTTTCAAGACTTCCATCAAAATGCAGCTCTAGAAAGAAGTCTAAATTCCACCTTCATCTCCTTAATACCTAAATGGAAGGGCCAAAGGGGCAACCAACATTAAAGACTTCAGGCCCATCAGTTTATTAAATAGCTTCTATAAAATTCTGGCTAAGGTTCTTGCAGAAAGAATGAAATTAGTGATGAATTCTATGATTGCAAAGAATCAATTTGTATTTGTGCAGGGAAGAAAGATGTTAGACAGTGTCCTGGTGGCAAATGAATTGATAGTGATAAGAACCCACTAGACGACCTGCTCTAGGAACTCTTGAATCAAGTTGTTATGCGCACCTAGAAGCTAGAAAACAAGTTGTAGTTGATCAGATTAGAACCTTAAGGAAACTAAGTCCTTAAAGACCCCAATCTTGAAGACGCCACAAAGGTTGATCACTCCCTTAATAAGTCAAGATATTGTATTCTACCAAGAACACAAGAAGGCAAAGCTAAGCTTGCTGAAAATACCTCTATATTATTGATTGATCTCGTATTACATAGTTGTGGCCTTTATATAGGCATGTAAACATCATTATCTTATAAGGAAACTCCTAATCTTATAAGGAAACTCCTAACTAATGATTATCTTATCAGAAAACACCTAACTGATGAGGATCCCTTTAATTTAGGAAAGCAAATCTGCCTTGATATAGGAATCCTTCTAAAAGACTACAACTAATGACAACTAAGCATAGAAAAGTCAAAGTAAACAGAACAAGATAAAGACAAGCCCAACAAGACAAAACAAGCCCATCAATACATCTTAGCATGCGAATTGGGCATTTTCTTATCATGTCCATGCGTCAAGCCCATCAAGCTTTGTTCTTCAAGTTCTAAGCCTTGCACATCGTCTTGCACATAAAGATAGGTGATTATCCTTGGTGAAGCTTTGGGAACTGTTAGAACAGTCTTAGAATCTTGTAGAACAACCTCTTTGTCACGCACTTCCATGATTAAGCCTTATAAAGCCTCTTTCATCCTCTTTGTTCTTACCCTAGTCATTGGCCCACCGATTCCTTGCAAAGGATCTTGAGATTATTTAGGAATATTAGCTTGAGCCATTTGGCCAGCACCTCGATCTCCATTAGATAGACTCAAGGAGAAGGGAAGACAAATCAGGGCTGATTTGTAGGCTGGATCTGAAAAAAGCCTACGACCATGCTAATTGGAAGTGTTTGGATTTGGTACTGGAAAGGATGAATTTTGGTCTGAAATGGAGGAACTGGATTAAAGTTTGTGTTTCTTCCCCCAAATTTGTGGTGCTAGTCAATGGTGAGTCAGCTGACTTCTTTAAAAGCTCTAGAGGTCTCAGACAAGGGGGCCCCCTTTCCCCTTTGTTGTTCATTTGTATAATGGAGGTGTTGTCCCTCTTTGTTCATCGAGTTAGCAAAGAAGGCTTATGGAAAGGGTTTGAATCAGTTCTAGGTAGGGAAAAAGTGCAGTTACTCCAGTTTGCAGATGACACATTGTGTTTTATTGATGCAGATCTAAGTC